CTCAATATTTCTTTGTTGAGGATATGGCATTAAAATTTAATTTAATTTAATTTAATTTAATTTAAACCCACTTGCGTCATCGACGAATGGCATCGCTGGACTGATAATGAGATCCCATTCCGATTGTTCTTAATATTATATTTTGGCTTTATTTGGTACAGATTTTCGAGTAAAAGCTGAAAATATGCACATGCTAAATAATACTGTGGGCGAAATCTGAATTTAGCCCGACTCTCAAGCCCAAAAAGACTTGCAAAGTGAAAACAGCTGAATTTTAAACCAACGTTAGGATGGAGCCATAGATGATACACATGACTTTTGCAATCTTTAAAGTTTGGCCACAATAAAGTGCCATACATTTGTGTGTAAAAGCAGAAATCAAAGTTATGTCGATTGATTGGTCTATTTGCAGAAGCATTATCAGAACCATCATCAGAACCATCAGAAGCTCGTGAAATTACCAATTAAATTGAATGCTTTTACGTTCCCATAACTGTAAAAAATGGAGTAAAGCCTACTTTGCATGGCAACGACGTTTGTGGAACGCTAAATTTTTGGCAGATGAAAACGGTTCTTATCACTGGCTCTAATAGAGGTATTGGCCTTTCGTTCGTCAAAAACTACCTGAGCTCTGGCAATTGGTCGGTAATTGCAACGGCGAGGGACATCCATCGCGCACAAGAGGTTCATATCTGGTTCATTTATTATTGGAATAGCTGAATCGACTGCAAAATGGCAGGTTGGAAGTACTGGAATTGGATTTGGCCGATGAAAAGTCGATTTGTAACCTCCAAAGCCAACTGAAGGGTAGACCGATCCATTTGCTTATCAACAACTCTGGCATTTTTATCCAAGATTCTCTTCAGAGCATCAATCAATCGATGTTTATCGATCAGTTCAAGGTTAATAGCATCGGCCCACTACTGGTAGCAAAGGCTTTGTTGCAGAACCTCACTATTTCAAGTGAGACGACAAAAATTGTAAACATTTCTTCAAGAATGGGCTCCATTGAAGATGCATCCGTTGACTACTATGGCTATCGTGCCAGCAAAGCTGCGCTTAACATGTTTACAAAAGTCTTGTCTAACGACCTGAAAAAAATTAACTTGAATATTTGTGCAATTGCTTTACATCCGGGATACGTCCGTACCGATATGACTGCTGGAAAGGGAAATATTCCACCGGAAGAGTCCGTTGCCAAGATGGTTAAGGTTATCGAAGAGGCCGAGATAAAGTCCTCTGGATCGTTTTTTCATCTAGACGGATTCACTCTCCCTTGGTAATTAAAAAGTTTATTGGCTCCAAAATTGCGTGCTTTACAATCGTACAGCGCAGCCATTCCTATTTTTTACATGAAAAAAACGGATATTTAAGATTGTAAAATGTGATCTCTTGCAAGCAAGCACCAATAGCATTTAAATTAGTAATTGGCTGAAATAAAAATTAGCTTTTGTTTCGATGCATTCTACAGAAAACATCAGAAAACCAATAATGAAAAGCGCTATTCTTGATCCCCTGGAACCTCCAACTTCAAACGGGCTCATCCCAAAATCCTTTGCAAAAGACTTAGAAGGCGTATCTTTTGCTCACATGGATACGTTCTATTCTAATATGCTCAACTTCCTTGGTGTCTTTCTGGGCACCATTTGCTCATATATTCCTTGCATTTCTTTCCTTTCTTCTCCATACGTTACGGTAAATCAAGGATCAGTTGGGATCATTTCAAAATTCGGGAAAGCGTATAGGATTGTTGACCCAGGGCTTTATTTCATCAACAAAATCACCGAAAACATCAAGATCGTTGATGTGACTTTAAGAATAACATCCATCCCCTCCCAATCTGTCATTACAAAGGACAATGTCAGCATCGATATTGACTCGGTCGTATATTGGCATATTATTGATCCATTCACCGCCGTTTTCCAAGTAGACGAGATTGTCAAGGCTCTGATGGAAAGGACAATGACCACGCTGAAAGATACTGCTGGCGCATACGACTTTCAATCGCTTGTGACGAATAGAGAAGATATAGCCCGTGAAATTAAAACCATCATCGAGCACACTGCCGATAAATGGGGCGTGGTTATTGAGGCGATTCTTATCAAGGACCTTATTCTTAGCAAGGAGATGCAGGATTCCATGGCCTCTGCCGCAAAACAGACAAGATATGGAGAATCCAAGATCATCGCGGCCAAAGCTGAAGTCGAGGCATCTAGACTTATGAGAGAAGCATCCGATATTTTGAACACACCTGCGGCAATGCAGAYCCGATATCTGGATACGCTCTCCAGTATGTCCAAGGCTTCAGGCAGCAAAATCATCTTTATGCCTGTTGAGCATAATACCAACTTCACACCCGAGTCCATCGGAAGTATGTTGCGAATCCAAGACGAGGTTGACCATTAAAATGGCCAGCTTGATTAATTAAAGTCTTTTTCCATGCACATGGCCCGCTGGTCTAGCTCGATCAAATTTTAGGGTTAGTGCTAAGTTTAGGGGCTATTAGGCTATTTATTGCATAAAACGAGAGCAAGGCCATAATTAGATATTAGAGTCAGAAGGGTTAAGGGTTAGGGTTAGAATTAGGATTAAGGGTTAGGGTTAGAATTAGGATTAAGGGTTAGGTTTCATTCGGCTTTTTTCCTTATAATGCGAAAAAGCCTGGGTTTGACACTTATCACTATGCTTTATGTGATAATAAAAGTTTAATTATCGGAGATAAGACACCTGGTTTGTGCAGAGAGCTATCAGCAGATCTCCAGCTTGGCCGGCCAGGTGTGTTGTGGAAGTAACAATATTAACCACAGGATCAGTTGCTAAAAGTGTACATCCGTAAGCTAGTTTAACTCGACTGAATAGATTCGATTTTAAGGCGGATCTGGGGTGTGCAATAACGAAGGAAGTCTTCAAAAAGATTATGAAATGCTCGATAGGCGATGTTGACTTTATAAAGCTGATTATCAGTGCGTGGTGGGCATAAAAATAGAACTCTAGACCTTTTAATTGTGATACCACCAACCTTTAAAACATCTAAAATGTAAGCAAATTTGGGCAAGTTTAAATCTTCAATTTGCCTGCAATATGCGGCGTACATCAGTACCAATATCATCTTAATTAAAAGTTTACGTTTTACATTATCAGGCTCGACCTCCATGCTTTTCATTTACATAAACACGATGAAAAGACTTATTACTTCTGCATTCATATGTTTTGGATTACTTGCTCATACTGTGCTAAGCCAAAAGTTGGAGATAGAGAATCTTTCCTTATTCATAGCAGACGATTTTAATCCGAAAGCATTTAAAGGACAACTTGCGTTTGCTGCAAATGAAGCGATTAAAACAATATTTTCGCTTTCTAAAGAGAATCTACTCAATGGAGCATACTCGATTAGCCCAAAGACTTACGGTAAGATTATGGATACAATTAGACAGGGCTCTAGTTTTAATGCATCTGAGATTTATAAAAAGGTAAAGGGCCTGAAAATCTTGCCATCTGATACTGACCTAAAAGCATTTGGAAATGAGAAAAATTCTGTCGTTTTCTATTGTGGACCTAAGAGACATGCAATGCTGTGTGAAATTTTCAAGGTCAAATCTTCTGACTCCAAACATGACTATTTATGGAAGGTCCTTATTTACAACAGTGGCTTCGGGTTACAACATCACCCAAGATACAAGATTGGTCCAAAGAAAAAATCATCACCAGTAGTTATATATGAAGGTCCTCCACTTCTTCTCACTCCAAGCTGGGTTGACGCCGCATTGCATTTTGGCCATTATAAAAAGGTTATCACCAACTTTTATCCCAGACTTTTGGGCGATTTTTATCTGTCCAATGCAACATATGACGTCTTTATTGATCCCCAAAGAACCGAAACATGTTCGTTTTCATCGTATCACGCATATTTTACATTTAAGCTTGGTGAGAGCCGATATAAAAGAATTTTTGCAGTTGCATCTTTAAGTGCCCTGCAGCATTTTGTATCTAAAGAAGCTTCTGATTTTATTTCAAAACGATATCTCTCAAAGTATTCGCTTTGTTTTTCTTCATCCAAAGTAAGCAATTCAACTGAGAGCCACGCAGGGCCCGAATACTTTAGCCACGATGCATTATCATCCAATAGCAGCGTTTTGAACGAGATAGGAAAGTTTCATTTTTTAAGATGGAATGTTGGTCTTATTGATACGATGTTCAGATATCTTGTTGAAATTGGCAATTGTGTATTTGGAAACAAAGAAAATGTCTTTTTTAAGGATCTAAAAGTGGCTTATGATGAATTCCAAATTGCCAAGAGGAAAAATATTTTCAACGCCGTTCCTACACACATAGCTGATAATAGAGGCAGAAGAGCCTCGTTTTCTAAAGCTACTGTGTGGAATTTTTGCCTTGGGTCTCACGATAAATTATCCTCTAATGAGAAGTTTTATTGCGAGCTTCCTAACTTTGAGTATCAAGATGGTGCTTATGATCCTGCAAATTTCACTGAATTTTCAAATTCAATTTTGCGCTTTTTGAGCAACGAAATCGCCTATCAGCAATGCTTTATGGGCAAAGATGCCCATTTAATTTCATATCTGGATTCGCTCACGTTTCGAATGATTCCCATGCTAGGAAGCTATACACCATCTGATGTCGATAAATTGGACTTTCTTTGCACATTTTTCATCAAAATGGTGGATTTATTACAATATGATGATTCCGATGCGTTTATGTACCAAAAGACTCTAATTTTAGTTGAGATTTTGAAAACGTACAAAGAAATATACACCCGACATGTAAAGACCTCTCTGAATAACGACGAGTATAAGTTTAAGCTTATTAATACTTTGCTTTTGGAAAAGCTATCTCCTTATTTTGTATACTCCAATGGCATCGATCTTCTAGGAAGGACCCTACCCAGTTATGGGGCGACTTTTTGGCTTCATCCAGAGAATGGAAAAATTAGCTCTGAATTGGTCGCCACGTTGTTTAAAAACAACAGCTACCCTCCGAGTTCACATGAAATGGAAACGTTTTTCAACTTGGATCTGATTAATGATCGCAAAACCTATCCTAGGTACGATCCAAATCATTTAAAAAGGATAGCATATATCTTGACAGTAATTGCGAACCCTCTTAGCCTTGAAAATGCCAATCAGGGGGTGCCTCCAGAAATCTGCTTGCTTGACCGACATTACTACAATCTTTTACACATGCTTTGTAAACTATCCCGTCGAACTGGCGGTGCACTTGTTTCAACACCAATTGATGCTCTCTGGTTTAGCTGTTTAATCGATACTAAGCATAATTTTCGTGTAAAAGCAGATGGTTACAATAACACTCGAGAAATCTCATCACTATCGTCGAAAGAAAAAAGGCCTTTGAAGTTGATGAATTTGGATCACAAATTTTCTTCTGTGTTTTATTTCTTGAATTATCTCCAAGAAGATCATGCTTTCATTTTATCTGACGCTGGAATGGAAATTCTTTATACTTTCATCCTCAAAGCATCGACATATACCGATCATGACTCGAAACGGGCTCTACCTTTAGTTATCGAATATTTTTTGTCTCGCAAGGATAGTATCCTGAGACAAGTTTCGACTCACAAAGGTGAAATTGGCAGGTTTAAGCTTTTAGCAAATTATCAGCTCATTCTGAATCGTTTGATATCGATTCAGAAAAGAAACCTCGACATTAGCGATCTTGAGCATGTTTTTTTGGGTGAATTTCAGCCAATTTTCGCCTTTCTCAAGCTTAATACCCTGATTCTTGAGGCAAGGTTTTTCGAGCTGCCGAATAGCCATAAGCTTTATTTGTCGGTGATATCTAATTTTGAGCTCATAAACTCCTTCTTTTTCAAGGAAGAAATTCAATATGTTCTT